ATGTACAGTCCAAAACCGCAATTTTGACAGATGTTGGCAAATTTTGAGTATCCATCCTAAAACAAAAAAAGGCACCAAAAAGTCATCCTTAACCAGTACCAACATAATGTTTGTAGAAAGGCTTTCGTATGGAAATAACTTCATTTTGCTGTTCGACGTCCTTCGATGTTAAAGTTCACCAAAATTTGAAAATTGTATTTTTTCTTATCACGTGTGTGGCGTTATAGTAGTTACATAAATAGGATAACAGGAATTATCACAATATGGATATTTGACAGTTCAACATGCCACATCAACCACCAACACCCGAGTCATCCTAGAAAATAGACGTACAAACAAAAATACACAGCAACGAACAATACAAAGTCGAGATACCCTGACAACGAACAGGCACAAAATGCGTTGGGGTTCAAATAGTCTTACGTGCGCATAGACCTCCATCATTGCTTACCAAGATGCAAAATATATAAAAATAAGAAAATGTGGTATGATTGCAAATGAGTCAACTCTCCACCATTGACCAAATGACATAGAAGTTAACAACTGTAGGTCACCGTACGACCTTCAACAATGAGCAACCGCATAGTCAGCTACAAAAAGGCCCCGAAATGACAAATGTAAAACAATTGAAACGAGAAACTAACAGCCTGATTTATGTACAAACCAATGATCTTAGAAAAGGCACATATACAATGTGGTGTGGTGGGGTTAAACTAGTTTGCTGGCGCCTAACCCTCCCCCTAACCTGTGACAGTGGTGTGACAGTACAACTTAAGAACAAACTATAAAAATTAGTTGAAAGGGCTTAACTCATCAGATCGATACAAAGTAGAAAAAAACATCTAACAAAAACACAGACCGGACGTAGTAGGATATGTATACATTCCCACAACAAAATGGACACGTAAGTACGGTATTTTCATATAACATGTACAAGCCAGTTTTTATCTATTTTTTTTATTTCTAAAGTCTCAACACATTGAAACCATAACTTTTCTTAAATATTCAATAATAATATGTTAATATTTGCTTAAATAGATCACTATATGGACTAAAATCACAAAGATATACAATTTTACCATTATGAATGTATACAACAAACTTTTCGGAGAGTTAGAAATTCTAACAGATTAAGGAAATGATACCTTTCGGAGAGCTAGAAAACTGATAAAGGAAACAAGAAGAATAGTGAACCTGCTGATTGTTTCTTGGGGCCTCGGTGTGGTCTAATTCGTTCATCTAAAGTGATCACTAGCCTGTCAACTCTCAGGTTATAATTGACAAGGATTGCAAGTTTTCATTTCCGGGTACTCTCAATAAGAACAGACCGCCATGATAAAGTCAATGCCGCCGAAAATGGAGTTAAACACCAACAAACAAACAAACATTGTGAGAAATTATACATTTGTCAATAAATCGGGATTATGCTTCACAAAACATAAAATATAAGCCTTTAATTTGTGAAACACAATCGGGTACATCCCATCCCATCTTACTAATATTTGACACTGTAGGAATAAGTCAATCTGACATAGACACGAAACTAATACATTTAGTCATCTATTTTAATATGCACGCTGTATGAAAAAGTAAGTAGTATTAAGTTATGGTATGTTTCCTTGTACACCTGCATAATTAAGTTTAAGGTAAATGATATCAAGGAAAGGATATTTTGGGTTTTATGATATATTTATTCAAGATAAAAGGCATGGATTTGACAGACCCAATAAATTAAAATGACATACAGATATAGCACTAGACAGTTACAGACACTAAAAAGATTTACAAATATTATACTTTAAAAAATAAAATTATGGCAATTGTCATGATATTTTGATATTTGACTAGATTGTAGTAATGAAATTAAATAGACTAGATTTTCACCGCAGCCTTATACCTTAGGATGACCCACAAAAGTTAATGAAACTTATTTCCAGTGGGGTCGTTTTAAGAAGAGACTACCAGTTCACACCAAGGTTGACACATATAACAAACAAAAATCATTTAAAATTATCACAGATAAAGGCTCAAAGCCTCGTTAAAATTAATAAAAAAAAATTCACTGTTAATGATGGATTTAAATTTGTCCATCAAAATTGTTTTTACTTGTACTTTAAAATTATATTTCTTTGAGCAGCTTTGAACTATTTCTGGTAGCGAGTTCCAATCGTTTATTCCATTAAAAAAAGTGGTAGATTCACACCCTTTAATTCCAGGTATATAAAAATATTTGTTACTAGATCTAGTATTGAAAGATGTTTCATTTCTAACAAAATTAGTATGCAAATAATTTGTGTATATATTGTTAAAAATATTGAAAACATGAGTGAGTCTCAGTTGTTTGACTCTATTAGTAATATTTAAAAAACCCAATTTCTCAAATTCAACATATGTCATACTCTTTCTAGGATGTAATTGCAGAATAAATCTCACAATCTAATTTTGTGCCACTTGAAGTTTATTCTTCATTTGTTTTGATATACCTTCATAAGCCTTTGGTTGACTTTTTTCACTATAGAATTGACAATAAAATCACCAGTCAGAAACTGATCAATTATTATTCCCAAATATTTTACAAAATTTTTGGATTCAATATTAATACCATTACAGTTGATAGCAAAAACACCCGGTACTAGAGACCGAAGTTTTCGACCAGGACCAAAAATTATACTCTCCCTCTTTCCCAAATGTAGGGACAATTTATTGTCAGTTAACCACTCAAGGCATGACTCCAGAATTCTGGATAATTTATGCGTGAGGACCCCAGGGTCTATATGGGAAAATAAAATTGCAGTATCATCTGCATATATCAAAACTTTACAATCTGAGTCAATGCTAGTTTGAACATCATTGACATAGATCAAAAACAATAGTGGACCAAGTAAGCTGCCTTGAGAGACACCACATGTAATATTACACACTTCTGAAGATACCCCATTTACACTTCAGGCGGAAACCCAGTTGAAATTAAACAAAAGAAATGAAACTCTTTGTTAGAGAAGGTAAAAAAGCAAAATTGGTATATTTTAATTGTTTACATCTGTTTCTATGGGCTTTAAAAACTTAATAAAGGTGCATAATTTAGGATTTTATGCATCTTACATACGTGTTTTTACATGAATTATAGTATGGAGCTTCGAGATATTTGTAAACTTTTCAATAATAGACAAATTTTCACAAAACAGTCGATTGTGGTAGGTGCAAATACAGTTGGATCTTTTCTGTGCATAAGCATGAATTCCTCCGAAAAAAATTCCAAAGAAAGATAACAGATTGACCCTTTTAAAGCAATAATTTACATCTCTGCCCCCGGCGACAGTTTTTTGGAAAAAAAATCCCGAAAATGGGCAATAATTTCCTCAAAAAGAGAAAGTCGAGTACACCTTTTTTGTTTAGGCGTGTTAGAGTTGACTATTATGACTTGAAAACGTGTAAAAGAAAAAATATTTCACACATCACCTCGCTTCAAATTCTATTACTTTTGTATTTTTAGGCTCAAGGTTGATATAATAACATTAAAAATTTACAGTACTAAAATATAAAATATATGGGTTAGGTGAAATATCTTTCTAGTGAGTCATAACAGCAGAATATGTGTGTTCGAATAACAAATTTTTACTAAAAGTGCTTGACGACAGACTTTCAAGTTGGATCTTAAAAATGCATATCTTCAAAAAAAATCATTTTTTTGTGTGTGTTATCTAGGATAATTAGTCTTCAACTTCTGAAAATTTTTAGTCCGCCCTTCCACAAAATATTTAATTAGAATTTTTTTAAATATTTTTGTACTTTCGAAAATTCCCCCTGACAACCGATCAGATAATAGTTTTTGGTTGATCAGATGCATAAAAGTACATTAAATGATGCTAAATAGCTAGTAGATACATTTATCTTTTAAAATACAACTTGCATATAAGGATCGTAATTATGCTATGTGTATATATTTGTTGGTTTTCAAGAGCTAAATTGACAGCGCGTCATCACTACAATGGCTTCCGTTTTTACGATTATAAAAATTAGGTGGCGTAATGGGGAGACAATTTTGACGAAGTAGAATCCTGACTGCACTTACAACCTGTTTTCTGTTTGTCAAATAGGACTCAAACCAAGGTAAAGATCTTACCCCAATAACTTCTAATTTGTCACATAATATCTTATGATCTACTGTGTCAAACGCCTTCTGTAGGTCTAATAGGACCATGCCTTTGGCTGTTTGAGTTTTAATGTGATCTATTAAGTGAATGAAACAAGAATCAGTTGAATAAGAACTTTCAAATCCTGATTGAAACTCAAATAATAAATTATTTGAAATCAAGAATTTTTCAAGTTGTTTATATGCAGCTTTTTCTAGAATTTTAGAAACAATACTTAAAATGTTAACCGGCCTGTAATTTTCAGGCTTGAGTCTGTCATTTTTCTTAAATAGGGGCTTGACCTTAGCCATTTTCAGATCGTCAGGTACCGTACCTTCAGAGATAGATAAATTTATCAAGAAAGTAATGGGAATTTTCAAAATTGGGGCTGCATCCTTAAGAAACCTTACTGGAATACCACCAGGCCCATGCTCTTACTTATTTAAACTACATAGTTCTTTATAAACAAAATCCTCTGTTATATGTTTTAGATTAAAAATGATATCTGATTCCCTTCTCTGAACATAGAAAGATTTTACAATATTTGTAGTGGCACTATACAAACCCTTTGCGCTTGGTAGTTTTTCTACCAATTTTGCAGCTATAGTTGTAAAGAAAATGTTAAAACTATTTGATATTTTTTTTCTATCATGACAGTTTTGCCCATCAATATTTAGAACTAAATTTGGATTTGATTTAGGATTCTTTTGATATCTCAAATGTTTAAAACTATTCCAAAGTTGTTTTGGATTATTTCTATTTTCTTCAATTTCACTACTATAGTTGTCAGATTTTGCACTTTTACATGATCTCTTTACATGATTTCTGAGTTTACTAAACTTCTTATAATCTTCAGGATTTTTAGAAATCTTAAAAATCAGATAAAAATTTTGTGTCTTAACTGAATATTTATCAAAATTTCTGCTGACATCCATGGTTCTGTTCTTTGTTTAATACAAATTTCTTTAAGAGTGTAACCCTGTCAAGAATATCCATAAAAATTTCTTTAAAAAATGACGAGGCCTCGTTTATGTCTGAGGCACTGAAACACTTTTCCCATTTTGCTTTAGTAAGCTTAGCTATAAACTCATCTTTATCATATGATTTCACAGATCTGACTTTAACATTATTGTGCTTATTATATACAGATTTTGCTAATTTTCTAGTACAATATATCATACAATGATCACTGAAACCAATATTTAATACACCAGACTTACAGATTTTCTCAGTATTATTACATAAAATATGATCTATTACAGACGCTGTAAATTCTGTAATTATTGTTGCTCTTTAATAATTTGACTTAAATTAAACAATTTTAAAAGCTCATTGAAAGATTTATACAGTGATCCACTCTGATCTTTAAAACATATGTTCAGGTCACCAAGTAATATAATTTCACAGTCCTCTCTTAGCTGAGACAAGAATTTTTCAAATTTCTCAACAAAATTACAATTTTGAGGGGGTCGATAACAAGTCCCTACAAAAATTGGTTTAGATTTTGGTAATAATAATTCAATACACAAAAATTCATCATTATTGTTTATTTCGTCCAAATTTATTGGTGTAAACGCAAGGTTTTCTTTAATGTACATACATACATACACCACCTCCACATCTGTTGCGGTCTTTTCTGAGGAATCTGGATAGTCTATCCAGGGTTAGCCTCTGTATTGGTTATCGTTTCATCAAACCAGGTCTCGGTAACAGATATCACTGCTGCTTTTGTTTTAAACTCAATAGTCTGTAGTTCTGGAATTTTTGTAAGTAACAAGCGGGCATTCAGGTGGATAAAGTGCATTCCCTTCTGGAAACCTTTAACGAAATTTTTATAATTTATCTATTTTCTTTACAACAACAAACTTCCTTATAAAAACCTAGAAAGTTTCCTCGTCTGTGTACTTATCTATTGTTGAAACAGATTGAATAAATTGTACACTAGTAAAACAGGTAAATTATTAATCAAGACAATTTCATTAATTAAATACCTCGTTTTAGTTCACAGTAATCGTTCGTTGTAGTATAACCTGTTTCCATTTCACGGGTCATTGATCAATTATGCATTAACCTTATTGTATTGCCATGAACAGAATTACGGATACTAGTCCTACTAGAAGCTTGGAGCAGATATGTACTATTCTTTGCTCTGTGGATTGTATTTGTATATTTATCCTGTATATGCCTCGGGTAAGTATGATATATTTTTTAGCCTATTTTGGTTTGTTACAATTTTCAGCAAATTATAAAAAAGATATAAAAATCCTACAGCAAATGCTATATGGATATCATGAAACATCAATACTTAGAATTCAAGAAGAGATGAAAGTCAATAAAATCAATGTCAAATAATATCAAATTTTAGATTCAGAAATTCTGTTTCATTGAGACAATCATTAATGCCAAACACAATCTGAACTTAATTTAACGATTTTTTAATAAGTAAATGAAATCAATGTTCACAAGCAAGTTAATGCTATGACCACGCATGACTGTGTTTTATTGAACATCAATGAGTCGAGTTCACCGAATATTGATACATCGAAAATAACCCCATGATATCTAACAAGTAATAGCTTTTCTGAAAAATCTAGCCGTCTCATAGCTGATGAAATTTGAAAATGTTTTCCATGCAGAATAGCATTGTATAGTCAATTACAAAAAATAAACAGCAAATACTAATTTTGAGATTTTCCAATATCTTTTTTGTAGGGAATCACAGGCAGTTGTCTCTGTTTTTTTCCATATATACCTTTATATAACATTAAGGTATATATGAAATTTTTCAGAGACAAATGGCTGTGGGGGGAATGTATAAACACCGAAAAAAGAGGGGGTCATTACTTTTTGAGGCCTTTTTCGAGTATACATTCCAACGTAACTTTCGAAGCGCTCGACAAAATTCGTTTATTTCACTTTGTCGCATAATGGACTTGATATTGAGAGAAAAATAAGGCCTTTAGGGAGCTCCCATTTGATTTTTATTGGGGGGGGGGCTAGGATAAAAAATTTGTCCTGCATTTTTTTTAGTTGTAATCTGTCCTGCATTTTTTATTTTTCACTCTATTCGGTCCTGCCTTTTTTTTATTAGTTTATCCTGACTTTTTTTTACATTAATTGTGATCCTGCCTTTTTTTGCCAAGTTGCTCATCCTGCCTTTTTTTTACTCAAAACCCCTGTACTGCCTTTTTTAAAAAAATCATCCTAAAAAGTTTGACAACAATGAATTTGAATACTATCAGTATGGCATAAGCCATTCTGGTTTATGTTGATAAATCATAATTATGATTATACTGTAAAAATGCTCTTTCAAACACCGTTGATTGTAGCTAGAAGTCAGCTGGCCTCTTATTATAATTTACCCCACGCTATTTAAACTTGACCCTTCTGTCTTCCCTGTATTGATGTCTGAAATGTACAGATGTGCCATCTTCTATTTATTTCTTAAATTTCTTGAAATATATTTTCTGTAGTAAATTGAGAATTATTTCTGAAGTGGACACAGGGATATATTTGCGCGAGCTCTAACCATTTCAATATAGAGGGAAGGACTTCCGTGTCATATTCGATTAAAATATTATAGACAAGACACGACAAGACAGTTTATTACAACTTAGGCCCGTACATATATAATGAGCTACAAGAGGAAAACAATTATACATTAACAAAAGGAGAAGCCGTTTTGAAGACATTTCGGGCTTGGTGCCAGCAAACTAGTGTAACCCCGCAACATTATGTGTGTGTCTGTCCCAGGCCAGGAGCCTGTGATTCAGTGGTTGTCGTTTGTTGCTGTATATCATATTTTTTTCGTTCATTGTTTTGTACATAAATCAGGTCGTTAGTTTTCTCGTTTGAATTGTTTTACATTTGTCATTTCGGGACCCTTTATATCTGACTATGCGGTATGGGTTTTGCTCATTGTTGAAGGCCGTACGGTAACCTTAGTTGTTTTAAACTTATGTCATTTGGTCTCTGGTAGAGAGTTGTTTCATCGGCAATCATACCATATCTCATTTTTATATGGAGCAAATCCAGGATAGCTGTTCAGCTTTAATTAAAAATTTTATATACTTATAAATTAGAACTAAAATATTTTGTCAAAACATCGCAGCCAGCTTTTAAGGACTTGGAATATTAAAAAAAAAGAACTAACAATTAATGATTCGTAAGAAATTTAAGTACAATTTATGACTAATAGCCTTATCCTTTTAAATAAATAGATATCTTAATAATTAAACATCAATTTAAGTACTACTAATTTTCATGTAACACTGCCCTTTCCTCGATCTTGATATCTATATCATTAATGGAAAGCTTAATACTAAAATATATGATAAAAGAGATGATTTTTCATTTCCTATCGTTAATTATCCATTTTTAGATGGTGACGTTCCCTTGTCACCATCATACGGTGTTTATATATCTCAACTTGTACGATTCGCTCGTGTATGTAACAATGTTTTAGATTTTAACGAGAGAAATTTATGTATTACTGAAAAATTATTACACCAGGGTTTTCGATATCACAAACTAGTCAAAACATTTACTAAATTTTATCATCGGTATAAGGACATCATTCGTAAATATAGCTCAACATGCAGACTTCTTATACGTTCAGGTATTTCACATCCAATTTTTTATGGAAATATTCTTTATAAAGCACAAAAATGTCAGTATTCACCTCTGAAGCTAACAAAACCTTAAAATAGACTTATTAAGAAGGGATATAGTTACGATACTGTTGTCAGGTCATTAAAGATTGCATATTTTGGCGTTAATATTGATTCACTTATAGGGTCTTTTCATCGGCACTAAACACATTTATTTAAAAACCAGTTGTTGGCATGACACGGGTTATGTTCTTCTCATATATGTTATGATGGTATGATACTAAACCCCTAACGGGAAGGATTGTGCTAGACTTGCTACAATTCCCTTTCTTTTATTTCTTTCTTACTAATTTATATGTTTACTGTTAACTTCCAGTATACTGATTGCTTCCTCTGCAGATGTCAGTATAATGGTAATCTCCAAGTTATAGCAGTAAAATTGTTAAAGGTGCAAAATTAGAAAAAAAAATAATAAGGAAGGGACATGTAGCAAGTCTAGGATTATGCCTGATATTCATATGATGAAGACATAATCTTTCAATCAGTTTAATTGAAGCCTGGAGCTGGCATGTCAGTTAACTGCTAGTAGTCTGTTGTTATTTATGTATTATTGTCATTTTGTTTATTTTCTTTGGTTACATCTTCTGACATCAGACTCGGACTTCTCTTGAACTGAATTTTAATGTGCGTATTGTTATGCGTTTACTTTTCTACATTGGCTAGAGGTATAGGGGGAGGGTTGAGATCTCATAAACATGTTTAACCCCGCCGCATTTTTGCGCCTGTCCCAAATCAGGAGCCTCTAGCCTTTGTTAGTCTTGTATTATTTTTAATTTTAGTTTCTTGTGTACAATTTGGAGTTTAGTATGGCGTTCATTATCACTGAAATAGTATATATATTTGTTTAGGGGCCAGCTGAAGGACGCCTCCGGGTGCGGGAATTTCTCGCTGCATTGAAGACCTGTTGGTGACCTTCTGCTGTTGTCTGTTCTATGGTCGGGTTGTTGTCTCTTTGACACATTCCCCATTTCCATTCTCAATTTTATTATAGTAAAAACATAAACCATTTATATATAATATATTCCCAGTCCGACACCAAGATACGCGGGAAAGCTACGCATTGCATTTCAGACATAAATAATGATTTCACGCTGCTACTGGAAGCATTTGAAAAACAATGCAAAATTTACACAAACATGTCAGTACAAAAAATGACATCACTTTCAAGTAAAAATTGCTCTAAGCAGTAAGAAGAACATTCTGACAATTTCAACGCTGAAATTTTAATTGCATTTGAGACCACACACTTTTGTCGATTTCGTAGTATCTGTATCTGTATCGTTACAGAGCACATGTTGACGGTGTTTGAGAGCTAATTTGAAGCTAACGAAGATTAAGTTCTTTAATTGTTCAGTTTTAGATTGTGTTGTATGAAGTGCCTTTGAATTGTTCTTTACTGAATTGTTTACTATATTGACACTCAAATTCGTCAAAACATTTAGGTTTAATAATCCTTTTGGTTTTACTTTAAACAAAATTAAAAAAAAGTTTTCAGAATTTATAGCTGGGACTAAACCCTCAACTACTTTGTACAGAAATACCAGCGGCTGGCTTGTTCTTCTGGGCTGCAGGTTGTCTAGTTCTAAGTCGGTTAAACATTTTGGTGATCGGTCCTTCAACTCTTGATGTGTAATTCCCTTGAATCTCTACGTTGGATCCTTTCTAGTTGGTGTATGTTGTTTGTTGTATATGAATCCCATACTATTGCCCAATATTCCATTGGTGATATAACTAATGAAATGTAGTCTTTTGGGCAGAATCGTAGATAACGTCTAAGAAAGCTTAGTGTGGAATTTGCTTCGAGTAAGTAGAATCTGAACCCTATATCTTTGCTACAGGAAAATATAACCCCGTAAACTTCGGTACGGGTAACATTAAAGTCTGTAGGTCTATAATCGACACTGTGGCTGCTTTAAACGCAAGACCGTATACAATATATACCAATTTATTAACACAAGTTTGACAGCTTGAAAGCTAGGGGAAGACTGCCCAAGCAACAGTTTACAAAATATACAATAATTCATTAATCTCAAGTTAAGATCTTAAAAACATTATAAAAGGTTCTCATGAAATATATCTATCATTGTCTAATCTTATGTAATCATAAACGGATTATTGTCCTCCGGCTTAACTTAGCAAAATAGCGATAATTGCTTCTTTTGTAGTTCGAGTGAAAGATACATGTATTATCTTTCGCACTTTTAACTGCCATCGGATTAAGTTGTAAAATAGTAAATCTATAATCTCTTTGAGTATTTGAAACAAAGAAACATTATATTTAAGAATAAAGAAACATTTAAAACAAGAAATATTCAACTTAAAACTAAAATGAGAAATATTCAATTTAAAACGAGAGTTCATATATATATATATATTCAATTCAAAACGAGAGTTCATATAAATATTCAATTCAAAACGAGAGTTCATATAAATATTCAATTCAAAACGAGAGTTCATATAAATATTCAATTCAAAACGAGAGTTCATATAAAGCACTTTGCAAATTAAATAAAAAGTTCCTAACGTCACTTTTCTTCCGGTTATATTCTCCACTACTTCCCCGAAGTGCTCGTCCCGAGCACAAATTACTACATTTCGTTTTAGTGTTGGTAATGTTATTCCATCTGTGGGTAATTTGTCTTTGGGTAATTAATCTTTCTGGTTGCTGAAAGTGTGTACATACTGAAAACATCACGAACATAGAAAATGCACATATTGGACCTTTTAATAAATATACAAAGGGGGTATGATGAGGGGAACTAACACAAATATACTAAAACATTCCGAGTAGGGGGACAAGCATAAATATACTAAAACATTCGGAGGAGTTGGACAAACATAAATATTCTTAAATATTCTGAGGAGTGGGACAAACATACATATACTAAAATATTCTGAGGAGGGGGACTAACATACATACACTAAAATATTCCGAGGAGGGAGACAACTGACATAAGTATACTAAAAAAAAATATATCCATTTCAACTTCACAATTGAAAGGAACATGACTCCATTAAATGTGTAGATATATTAAACAAAAACGGGGCTGCTTTTATTATAATCATAAAAGTAGGACTAGGTATTCAAGGAATTGGAGGAAAGGGGAGGGGGGGGGGGGCAATAATGATCATTTGTCTGTTTAAGATCCTAACAAAAACTACATTATACTGAAAGGTTTTCGAAAACACCATCAAGAATTTGAACCGATTATCATATTATCAGTGGCTATATTTGTACCTTGTAAACAGGTTTTGATCAAACATCATAATGTAAAATATATAACCGGGCGTTTTCCGTGTTATAGTAATTCAAAGACGGAATACCAATACTTTAAACTTTATTAGCAAGGTCCGGACAGTACCAGACCTAAGACCTAAACTGACTACAAAATAACATACAAAAGCATATATAGAAAACAGTTACTATAGCAAAGGATTAGTGTCCAAAGGATTAACTTGTCATCGTCAGAGTAATTTCCATTACGACAAACATATATTTAACAATAGAATTAATTAAACACAAAGAAATGTAAAAGGTTTGATGAACGGATTAATAAATTGTCACTATAGCACTTAAAATATATTGTTGGAATTAGCTTTATTTCTATTTCACATTTGTCCAAATCTTCCTGGTTATATTCGCCACTACTCCACCTAAACTCGGTCTCCGAGTTTGCCGAATGAATTTTGTTATCGTCGTGGGTATCCTCCTCCTCCTCGCCGATGACGTTGCTGCGAATTGCCACGCGAGCAAATTGCAAGGGTCGAACGCACATCTCGGTTTGAATGTTTTATATCTAGATGTTGAATCTCGTGTCTACTGTTTACGTTCTCTTCCTTAAGTCTCTGAATTTCGTCTTCCATATCATTTAAGATGCGATTGTACTGCATGTCAGAATTTTTGAACTCCATTGTTAAGCGTTGTCTGGTGTTCGTTAAATTTAGGTTTTCCTCTTTCAGTTGAACTATTACTCTTTCCAAATGTTCATTTCTATCTGTATAACCACTTATTTCTTTTTCAAACTTTTTAGTTCGACTTGTATGTTCGGCTAATTCATGTTCGATCTTTTGAATTATCCGGCCATGTTCTAAACGTTCCAAATTTAATTTGTCCAAACTGTCACTCAACATTACATTATCTTTCACTACAGTATCCAATTTAGAATTTTCACACTTCAGCACAGCGATTTCTTTGATGAAGTTTCGGTTAGACACTTTCAACTTGTTAATGTGTAGTTTCGCGGATTCGTCCTGTATGGAGCACGTAAAAGCGGAGAGTTCCTTGTCCTCGAGTTCTTGAAACGGAAATTGAGACATTTGTTTCTTTTCAATAAACGTTCTCATTCGGTCGCTGTCTCTTTGAATTTTTGACTTTGATTTCTTCTTCGGTTTTGGGTTTTCACACGACTTAACGTGAAAACTACACATACGGGCAAAATGTCCATGATGTCTGCACTTGTAACAATAAGCGTTAGCTGCATAACACCGATGGTAGGTGAAAACGTTCAATGTCTTACCACAATATTTGCACAGAAATTCCAAATAGGTATCTGCTTTTCTCATCGGAAACGGATGTCCATTTCTGCAAGGCTGGTAATTCCAGGTTCCTTCCATATAGTTGCTTCTAGAGGTATTCATTACTAGTTTGGGGGAACTAGCTCAAGATCGTGCCGCGGGTACCTCAACCAATATATAACCGGGCGTTTTCCGTGTTATAGTAATTCAAAGACGGAATACCAATACTTTAAACTTTATAAGCAAGGTCCGGACAGTACCAGACCTAAGACCTAAGACCTAAGACCTAAACTGACTACAAAATAACATACAAAAGCATATATAGAAAACAGTTACTATAGCAAAGGATTAGTGTCCAAAGGATTATCTTGTCATCAAAAAGGTTTGATAAACGGATTAATAAATTGTCACTATAGCACTTAAAATATATTGTCGGAATTAGCTTTATTTCTATTTCACATTTGTCCAAATCTTCCTGGTTATAAAAACACCAAAAACATAATCGTTCATCAAAAAAGAAGATGCTTTACCATGGAGAGAATTGCATATTTAAAAAAAAAAGGAAGCAATCAATATGTGTGATAACAATAAAATTTATTTTAATACCAAAATGCTAATAAAAACGATCTTTTTTTACTGAGAAAAATGAAAACTTTGATCATACGAAATACATTTTTTAGGAACTTTGTTTACAAAATTTTGCTTTCAAAAGTGCATAGAAAGTGCATTTGCAAATAAACATGAAGAAATTTACACATGCAAGTGGAAATTTACTAACACAAGAACAACATGCACAATCTTATCTTTATTTTCAATCTGAGTAGCAATTTTTCCTGAAAAAATCGACAAATTCGTTCCTTTCGTATTATAGATTTCTTCCAAAAACGACGGACCGCCGCGATATCAGCCTTCAATAAATCAAAAACAACCGAAACAAACATGTTTTTCTATTAAAGTCAGGAGCCTTTATTTCAGTGGTTGCCGTTGGTTGATGTCTGTCTTACTTGTTTTTCGTTTGTTGTTTTTAGCACAAATCGGGTTATTGGTTTACTCTATTGAAATTTTTCACATTCAGTCTTGTCGGGACATTGCATAACTTTACAGTATGGATTTTGCTTCTGTTGAAGATCGTACAATGTTCTATAGTTTGTTACAACTTCATCCTTTGGTCTCTGGAAGATAATTGTCTCATTGGGAATCATACCACGTCTCCTTATTTCAGTATTAGTCAAACGCTGTGTCATTGGCACCATTTTCTGATATTTAAGAGACCAGAATGTTTGGGCTTCAAAAGTCAATATATGATAGTTTATACTTGAAATGTCTATTATAAGACATGTTTTTTAACAAAGTTAAAGTAAGATTATATTACAATCAGTTCTCAAACAATTGCAAAAAGTCATCCTTATGAGTTTAGTGGCTTTTTGTTAAATTCCGTTCAACTGTTCAACGGTAGATCAATCGTGGAATTCACTCACAAAATCTAATTACTATTTAGTATTATATGGAGTAAAGCTCTTTATATTAAAATTCCTACAAATTTCATCAACTTTCCGATATTAAAAGTGTGAGTTAGACAAAAACAGGAAAATTGATTATGCTCTTTTTACAACTAGTGTTCATGCTTTGTCACATTCTCATCCGAAGCTAACGTATTATTTAAAATTATTTTTTCAAGAGTCCAGTAACGGTCTGCCAGGAACAACATATAAAAAATGGACTTGGACCAAATGGTTTGATACAGATTCAGGAGAACGTGAAACAGAAACCTATGAGTCCATTGTAGCGGTAAGTAATGATCTCCTGTGAGAACTAAGACAAACCTGAGTCTTTTGTAGCGGTAAGTAGTGATCTCCTGTGAGAACTAAGACAATTTTATGAGGCTATTGTAGCAGAAGTAATGATCTCCTGTGAGAACTAAGACAAACCTATGAGTCTATTGTAGTGGTAGGTAATGATTTCCTGTGAGAACTAAGACAATTCTATGAGGCTATTGTAGCGGAAGTTATGATCTCCTGTGAGAACTAAGACAAACCTATGAGTCTATTGTAGCGGTAAGTAATGATCTTTGAGAATTAAGACAAACCTATGAGGTTATTGTAGCGGTAAGTACACTAAAACAAACCTATAAGCTATTGTAGCGGTAAGTAATGGTCTTCTGCGAGAACTAAGACAAACCTATGATGCTATTGTAGCGATAAGTAATGATATGTGAGAACTAAGACAAACCTATGAGGCTATTGTAGCGGTAAGTAATGGTCTTATGTGAGAACTAAGACAAACCTATGAGGCTATTGTAGCGATAAGTAATGATCTCCTGTGAGAACTAAGACAAACCTATGAGTTTATTGTAGCGGAAAGTAATTATCTCCTGTGAGAACTTGCATAAACCTATGAGTCTATTGTAGCGGTAAGTAATTAACTCCTGTCAGAACCTAGACAAACCTACGAGGCTATATAGCTAGTGACTGCTTCCTGTGAGAACTAAAACAAACTTAGGAGTCAGTTGTACCGGAAGGTAATAATCTCGCTAAGACAATTCAAACCTATGAGGCTATGTAGCAGTAAGTGATTGCCTTCAGGAAGAACTAAGACAAACATATGAGGATATGTAGTCGTAATCGATTGCCTTCTGTAAGAACTAAGACAAACCTATGAGTCTATTGTAGTGGTAAGTGATTGCCTCCTGTGAGAACTAAGACAAAAGTATGAGACTATTGTGGTGGAAATTAATTACCTGCGGTGAGAAGTTAGACAAACCTATGAGGCTATGTAGCGATATGTATTTACCTCCTTGTGAAAAGTAAGACAAATCTATGATGATAATTGAGTGGTAAATAATTACCTCCTGTGAGAACTAAGACAAACCTATGAGTCTATTGTAGTGGTAAGTGATTGCCTCCTGTGAGAACTAAGACAAAAGTATGAGACTATTGTGGTGGAAATTAATTACCTGCGGTGAGAAGTTAGACAAACCTATGAGGCTATGTAGCGATATGTATTTACCTCCTTGTGAAAAGTAAGACAAATCTATGATGATAATTGAGTGGTAAATAATTACCTCCTGTGAGAACTAAGACAAACCTATGAGGTTATTGTAACGATCTCCTGTGAGAATTAAGACAAACATATGAGGTTATTGTAACGATCTCCTGTGAGAATTAAGACAAACCTATGAGGTTATTGTAACGATCTCCTGTGAGAATTAAGACAAACCTATGAGGTTATTGTTACGATCTCCTGTGAGAAATAAGACAAACCTATGAGTCTATTGTAGAGGTAAGAAATGATCTCCTGTGAGAACTAAGACAAAGCTATGAGTCTATTGTAGAGGTAAGAAATGATCTCCTGTGAGAACTAAGACAAATCTATGAGTCTATTGTAGAGGTAAGAAATTATCTCCTGTGAGAACTAAGACAAACCTATGAGTCTATTGTAGTGGTATGTAATCACCTCCTGTGAGAACTAAGACAAACATATGCGGGTATTGTAGCGGTAATCAATTACCTCCTGTAAAAACTAGATCAAAAGGTTTAGGCTATTTTTTTCAGTTATTACCTCTAATTGAAACCATATTAGGTAATATGCTGAGTCCTACCCGTTCTCTTGAAAAACAATGAAGAAATGTTGATTTTTTCCGGATCCTTACAGCTTTTACTATTAGTTAAAATCTTTTTGTTTAAGTCCTTTGATAATATCTAACTTTGCCAAAAATTATGTGTAAAATTGTCATATTTTGTTCAACAATTTTTTTGTTCATGACATTACAACTAAATTTTGTGAACTTGAGTGTCCATATCATATCAACCTAATCATTTATTAATGAAACGAACACAATTTTGAAAGACTGACGAATGTTACTTTTTTGTGTTAATTTCAAGGGCCACATAGATACTCTTATACCTCCTCCACATTAAACAAGTTTTAATAATGATTATCTATGATTTATCAAGACAAACTTTGCAATTGTTATGCTTTTGATTTATGTAACAAAATAAACTATAAAGCTAACACCTGCACAATAATTTCTTGTTGAAAGACTGTCACGGTTTAAGGAAAAAGGGGGGTTTCTGTTGTGTTATGCATTATAGCATGGTAGCATGTACATGTATCATAATAATTACGTTCTACTTTCTATAAACATTTTAAATCTCGTAAGCTACTTTACAAAATTACAGGCACATTAACACATCTAATTTTCCAGTGGCAATCCATTTTTTTTCAATTTGATATTCACGGTCCTGAATATGCATTCTAATTAAATTTTCAAAAATTCAAAAATTATATGAAATAGTGTTAAAAAGTATGTCAACATCATCATTATCTTCCTTTACAGAGATTTTAAATATCACAAAACTTTTTTGTTTTGTTTCATTTTTTGTTTCTTTTACCTGTTCAAAGAGCACGTCGACAATAGCAGTTAAAACATACAGATGTACCTTTTTTAGTTATAACAACTTAAATGATGTAAACCCGCCTTTACAACATATTTGTACAAAACTTAAACCTTAAAACCATTTTAAAACATGAAACAACATTTATCTCGAAATTTCTTTTTGTGAGCATGATAGGAAAAACTCTCAAAATTTACATCCATCACACCATTGTGTCCAAAACTCCGACAAAAAATGTTTCTACACAGTGCACACGCACACTGTTAAAAATGTATGTAAACAATTTTCCAACGGAATGAGTACCAGTGGCGGATCCAAGGGGGGGGGGGGGGGGGGGGGGGGGGTTCCGGGGATTGCAACCCCCCCCTTTTTTTGACGATCAATGCATTTAAATGGTTACTAGTTGGAACCCCCCCCCCTTTATCCTGGGTTAGAAACCCCCTTTTATAAATGGCTGGATCCGCTCCTGAGTACACTACCTGCCACTGGACGTTAACAAACAGTTAGCAATCAATCAATCATAAACACAAGTGGCTACATATTTCAAAAATAGTAAAAGAATTATCTTTAAAAAAAAGCATTGCAGGTGCGCTATCGACAGGCTATGATTTTCATTTCAGAGAGGTTGGAACATTTGTCTGCAAGTGCGCTTTTGGCAGGCTATCATTTCTTTTCAGAGAGGTTGGAACATTTGTCTGCAAGTGCGCTTTTGGCAGGCTATCATTTTCTTTTCAGAGAGGTTGGAACATTTGTCTGCAAGTGCGCTTTTGACAGGCTATCATTTTCTTTTCAGAGAGGTTGGAACATGTCTGCAAGTGCGCTTTTGACAGGCTATCATTTTCTTTTCAGAGAGGTTGGAACATTTGTCTGCAAGTGCGCTTTTGACAGGCTATCATTTTCTTTTCAGAGAGGTTGGAACATTTGTCTGCAAGTGCGCTTTTGACAGGCTATCATTTTCTTTTCAGAGAGGTTGGAACATTTGTCTGCAAGTGCGCTTTTGACAGGCTATCATTTTCTTTTCAGAGAGGTTGGAACATTTGTCGTGGTGGAAAACTTATAGGATGTGAATGTAAACGAGATGACACAAAAGAAATTCTGTCCAATGGCGATTTCTTTAATACCTCTCATATACTCGGTACTGATCTACAGTGTAAACTAAATGGAATCGAGTGTCATAATATTCTATGTATGAACTTTGAAGTCCGCTTTTTATGTGAAGGTAATAAAATTGAATTAAAAAATGTAAATAGTAATTAGTTCGTGAAAATAGTGTAGGTACACAAAAACGCTGTCTAGACTGTCAACAAACATTTCATTTTTTCCTTCCAGAGTTTTTAAATCTATATTTTTTTTGTATAAGCTTTGCAGAAGTGCAGTACTGAAGGAAGTTTCATATATATTTGCCAAAGAAAAACCTATTTAAGTTTTTTTTTCCAGCATTATAGGTGATGTTACATTCTGCATTAAATACTTATTATCATAAATATATACATAGGCTATTAATCTATCCAATCTTAAAGGATAAATTATAATTATTACAATCTTGCTACATATTTTTTATATATATGTAAATACGTTCAGTTGTATACTATATGCGTACTTCACTCTACAGATGATCTGTGTGATAACTTTTTCTTGTTGCATAGCAGATTCAAATGTCGTTTTGAAAAATAGGAAAACATTTGAAATGAGAATAATAACAACATCTCTATTGGGTTTTCCGTTCTAAAACACGTGTTCTTTCTATCGTGCATAAGAATTTATAAGTTTTCCCACCGTTCCTTTGTATACCTTATAAAAATCATGAGTACTAAAAAAATAACGAGAAGGGGGAGGGGGAGAGGTCTCTCCATTTTTCTTCCATTACAAAATCTTAGAGAACCACGTGTAGAAATACACTTGTTATTACTCGTGGAGAATGGAACGTTCATATGGCAGTCAAATAGATTTGGGCGACTTCTCTTTTTAGAATGTTTTTTCATCTCTCAGCGATCAACAGCTGCAAACAAAAAAAACATTTTTCGACTCGGTTGCTACAATATCTCCAAACATCAAGTGTTTTAAATTTTAACCAGTTGAATTATATTTTTCTTAATTATTTGCTATGTTTTGATAAAAAAAATCTTGCGTTTTTCTCAATTTATTTTGTCATTGATTAGGAACAGATGCCTCACATGGCCTACCCTAAAGCAATCAATCACTACAAATTGACTTTGAAAGGGATTTAAAAAAAAAAACAAATAAATATATATTAAGGGAATAATAAAAATTGAAAAAAAATATATTCCCTGCTATTAAAGTTTTGAATTTCTCATGCACCAATATTGTGGCTTTGCTGTGAATTAAACAAAACAAAATATGTGATCGCTCAGGAGATAGATGACAAATCTAAAATCAGGAGATGGACCGACTTTATATATACTATTATTATCTAGTTTGTGTTTCTTTCTAAAGCAATTTTGTTGTCCAAGAAATAAATTGTTTATGATGCATTGTCTTAAAACACTTTTTGATAAATCAAATCGATGTATTTTCTACGAAGCAAAGATTCTATACAGGTTGTTGTACAAGTGTAACTAACATATATGACGACTTGATTGATTCCTGGCTATGACAATTAATTAAGTATACTCGTGGCTCCCTCTTACCTTAAAATATAGAACCTTTTAAAAATGTTTGTAAGTAGATGTGGTATTATTGCCAATGAAACAACTCTCAGAGACCAAATGATGTAGAAGTAAGCAATTATATGACATGACACCGTACGGCCTTCAACAATGAGTAAAAACCATATCGCATAACAAGCCATAAAAGGCTCCGAAATGACAAATGTAAAACAGTTAAAGCGAGAAAACTAACGATCTGATACATGTACAAAACAATGAACGAAAAACAAATATATGATTACAGCAACAAACGACATCCACTGAAGTACAGGCTCCTGACTTGGGACATGCCGACAATACTACATTAACTATGAACCTTCTTTTGTTCTAGCATAATGGGGAAAGCTAGATATCAAAACTCACCCGAAATAGTTAATATTGCAATTTTTTTTCAATCGCGAGTAAACGAGTTTTGTTTTTTGCTAACAATGCTTTTAGATGATTTTTTGCTTGTTTCTGTTCATATTTTTTAAAAATTGACCTAATGGGTGATCTTGATATTTCTTTTTGAGTCCGTGGAAAGCAACCTGAATGTTATGGACCATACAATAATCCCAAGATACCATGTGGTTTGTTTCATTTAGTTTTAGTTATACTGTATCATTTCTATATATATATATATATATATATATATATATTGTGTTTGTTTCAGACATGATAATTGAAAGTGGATCAGCAGTATTTTATTTTCTGATGTTAGTTGTGCCAGTAGCAGTCATACTGTTCAGATTATACTGTTGGGATATTATGAAGAAACGAATTAAAAAAAGACATTGTAGTAATCAGAACACAAGCAGAAGTTCTCAACTAGATGTTATAGATATGTCGGTCTTTGATCCTCCGTCATACGACGACTTATTTGGTTCCCAAACGTACACGAGTATCGGTGATATCAAATGCAATAATTGTAATCACTTAAAAAACACTTGTCACTCTTTTACAGAACAATCAAATGCAACTGCTCAAAACCCAAACTCAAGAAGAGGCGAGTTCTCCAGTGTAGACTGCTCATGTGAATGCCACAAAATAGATAATTGCATAGCTTCTGGTTTTAGGGGGGATTCACGGTTTGAATCTAATGATGATTATTCAAGTACAAATGCAGCGTATATTCACGACAACGAAACAAATGATAATACTGGAAGCAGAGCAAGGACAACTAGCATTTCTATAAACGTAATCAGTGGAGCATGCATCGAAACTCCGCCTCCTACTTACTCAGAGGCCTTAGTTATTTTGAAAAGGACAGAAGGTTTGGATGCAACACATTTGTGAGGGAAATACAGAATGTTAAAAATAGATATACACAAAACATACCAGATATATCAGTTTTGAAATAACACTCTATTGGACGATTGAAAAGTTCAAATTAAAAAATATTCAGTCACATATATCACGAATGTTTATAGTAATGGTTCGAACAAACTTTTTTGAAAAGACATTAAATTTGCGGCTAAAATATGTAGTTTGTAGTCAATTTCAATATCTAATTTTGACACCGACGTCTGACATAGATTGTTGTTTAATATTTAGAAATTATTCATCTATATATTTATATAGAAATGTTGATTATTTGAATATTTATTCAAGACAAAAATCCTAGATCGAAATAGGAAAGTCTATTACGTAAACAAAGTACCTGTATCACTCACCTGGCTAATATGTTTTGATAGGCCAGTATCTTCGATGAATCTGAACCAGGATAATAGAATACAATAGAATATGTCTCTTCATCTCCATTATTCTAGTGATACTGACATTATAAAGATAAGAAAATGTGGAATGATTGCCAATGAGACAACTCTCCGCCAGAGATCAAATGACATGAGTTAAAAGCTATAGGTCACCGTACGGCCTTCATCAATGAGCAAAACCCATACCGCATAGTCGGCTATTAATGTCCCCGAAATGACAAACGTAAAACATTCAAACGAGAAAACCAATGGCCTGATTTATGTATTTACAAAACGATGATCGAAAAACAAATATGATATACATCAACAAACGACAACCACTGAATTACAGGCTCCTGACTTGGGACAGGCTGAATGTGGCGGGGTTGGGCTAGTTTGCTGGCGCCAAACCCTCCCTTAACCCGAGATAGTGGTATAACAGTACAACATAAGAAAAATCAGTTGAAAAGAGCTTAACTCATCAGATCGATACAATGCAGAAAACATCTAATGAAAACACAGAATCGGACGTGGCAGGGTAATTTTAAAATAGAACGAAACTGATGATTCCCTCAGTAAGTCATTGAACATGCCATAGTGTCCATCCATCATGGTATATCTAGGATCAGCATATCATTTTTTGATGCAACCTCACAATTCAAAGATTGAGTCATCTCAACGGACATTTTTTCAGAAACCGAAAGATGATGTCCTTCATTTTTTACAATTTTCTTGCTGTTAAAAGTCATCCTAAACCAAAACCAATATCATGTTGGGAGAAAGGCTTTCAAATAAAATAATTTTATCTTGGTGAGCGATGTCCTTCAATGCAACATTTTTCAAAAATTTGTAAATTGTATGTTTGTTTGTTGTTTTGTTTTTGTATTTTTTTTTATCAAATTGACTTCAGCATTGTCACACTGAATAACACTCTGAAGATAAGGAAATTGAATTTCTTCAGTTTAGTTTTCGTACTCGGACTCCTGCACTCACACCATTCACCAACTCAGGTCTCCAATCAACGATTTAAAAATACAAACATGTAGCTTATACAAGTATGATTTTATCCCATGTGTAAAAAGTGGATATTTCCACATGTTTATCGTTTGGGAGTTGTTGGCAAAATTTGAGTAGTAACCATCCCAAAAACTGCATAAAAAGGTCGTCCTTAACCAAACAAGACCAAGATTTTCGAATGCAAATAATTTCACTTTTGTGTGCGACGTCGTTCGATGTAAAACTTGTAAAGTGTTTTTTTTTTTTTTTTTAATTTTTTGTTTTGTTTGTTTTTTTGCTTTGTTTTATCACAATAACTTCAACAGCAGCATTGTAACACTGAATAACACTCTGATGATAATTAAGGAAATTGAATTTCTTCAGTTTAGTTTTCGTACTCGTAACCATATGGACACACTGCCACGTGTACATGTATATACATTGATAGTACTTTCTAACTTAAATTGCATGTTCGAAATAAATCTGTAATGATTTAAAAATACAAACATGTAGCTTATACAAGTATGATTTTATGCCATGTATAAATAGTGGATATTTCCACATGTTTATCGGTTGGGAGTTGTGGCGTGCTCCTGTGATCTAGCTACCTGGAGACCAGAGTCGGTGAACGGTGTGAGGGCAGGAGTCCTGCTTTCAGGTGATCTATGTTGAGCGGGCGTCCGCACTAAGATCGGTATCAATATGGGCACACCGAGGGAGCTCAGTGTGACCAGGTTGTCTAAGGAGGGACGTACAGGCCAAGGGCGGAAACGCAGCAGGCAAAAGTCCCCGTGTCGATCAGTAGTGGGATCGCGCCTGTGAATAGGCATCTGTCAGCAGCCTGTCCAATACAATTGGACTCGACTCTTTTTTTTTTGGCCACTGGAAATCATACTTCTGTGTAAAAGAACCCAAAAATCACCCTCAAATGTTGTCTCTTTATGCAAAGAATACAATTTGCACAACATTGTCGCTCAAAAAGGTTGTAGAATAATCATGTTTCTTTGACTTTTTCGAAATGTCTAAATAACATGACCAACAAGCCTGGTCACAAGTCAGAAAATCGCCTCTTCTTCTTGTCTTTGTTTCAAGTTGGGATTCTTTTTTTCTGCACTTTAAAGAAGTTGGTGTTGATGACAGATTTCTGTAGTTTCTGTCAAAGAGGTAGGACCCATTTCGACTGTATTTATTTGACAGCAGGGTCATTTCCAAAAAGAAACTTTTAATCTTTACTTAAACACATAGTATCATAGATCCATGTGTGTATTTAAAGCTTCTAACGCAATTACGGAAAATTTTCTAAACAGAGCATCAAATGATAAACGTCTGACTATGTACAGTCCAAAACCGCAATTTTGACAGATGTTGGCAAAATTTGAGTATCCATCCCAAAAAACTGCATAAAAAGGTCGTCCTTAACCAAACAAGACCAAGATTTTCGAATGCAAATAATTTCACTTTTGTGTGCGACGTCGTTCGATGTAAAATTTCACAAAAACTTGTAAAGTGTTTTTTTTTTTTTTTTTTTAATTTTTTGTTTTGTTTGTTTTTCTGCTTTGTTTTATCACAATAACTTCAACAGCAGCATTGTAACACTGAATAACACTCTGATGATAATTAAGGAAATTGAATTTCTTCAGTTTAGTTTTCGTACTCGTAACCATATGGACACACTGCCACGTGTACATGTATATACATTGATAGTACTTTCTAACTTAAATTGCATGTTCGAAATAAATCTGTAATGATTTAAAAATACAAACATGTAGCTTATACAAGTATGATTTTATGCCATGTATAAATAGTGGATATTTCCACATGTTTATCGGTTGGGAGTTGTGGCGTGCTCCTGTGATCTAGCTACCTGGAGACCAGAGTCGGTGAACGGTGTGAGGGCAGGAGTCCTGCTTTCAGGTGATCTATGTTGAGCGGGCGTCCGCACTAAGATCGGTATCAATATGGGCACACCGAGGGAGCTCAGTGTGACCAGGTTGTCTAAGGAGGGACGTACAGGCCAAGGGCGGAAACGCAGCAGGCAAAAGTCCCCGTGTCGATCAGTAGTGGGATCGCGCCTGTGAATAGGCATCTGTCAGCAGCCTGTCCAATACAATTGGACTCGACTCTTTTTTTTTTGGCCACTGGAAATCATACTTCTGTGTAAAAGAACCCAAAAATCACCCTCAAATGTTGTCTCTTTATGCAAAGAATACAATTTGCACAACATTGTCGCTCAAAAAGGTTGTAGAATAATCATGTTTCTTTGACTTTTTCGAAATGTCTAAATAACATGACCAACAAGCCTGGTCACAAGTCAGAAAATCGCCTCTTCTTCTTGTCTTTGTTTCAAGTTGGGATTCTTTTTTTCTGCACTTTAAAGAAGTTGGTGTTGATGACAGATTTCTGTAGTTTCTGTCAAAGAGGTAGGACCCATTTCGACTGTATTTATTTGACAGCAGGGTCATTTCCAAAAAGAAACTTTTAATCTTTACTTAAACACATAGTATCATAGATCCATGTGTGTATTTAAAGCTTCTAACGCAATTACGGAAAATTTTCTAAACAGAGCATCAAATGATAAACGTCTGACTATGTACAGTCCAAAACCGCAATTTTGACAGATGTTGGCAAAATTTGAGTATCCATCCCAAAAAACTGCATAAAAAGGTCGTCCTTAACCAAACAAGACCAAGATTTTCGAATGCAAATAATTTCACTTTTGTGTGCGACGTCGTTCGATGTAAAATTTCACAAAAACTTGTAAAGTGTTTTTTTTTTTTTTTTTTTAATTTTTTGTTTTGTTTGTTTTTCTGCTTTGTTTTATCACAATAACTTCAACAGCAGCATTGTAACACTGAATAACACTCTGATGATAATTAAGGAAATTGAATTTCTTCAGTTTAGTTTTCGTACTCGTAACCATATGGACACACTGCCACGTGTACATGTATATACATTGATAGTACTTTCTAACTTAAATTGCATGTTCGAAATAAATCTGTAATGATTTAAAAATACAAACATGTAGCTTATACAAGTATGATTTTATGCCATGTATAAATAGTGGATATTTCCACATGTTTATCGGTTGGGAGTTGTGGCGTGCTCCTGTGATCTAGCTACCTGGAGACCAGAGTCGGTGAACGGTGTGAGGGCAGGAGTCCTGCTTTCAGGTGATCTATGTTGAGCGGGCGTCCGCACTAAGATCGGTATCAATATGGGCACACCGAGGGAGCTCAGTGTGACCAGGTTGTCTAAGGAGGGACGTACAGGCCAAGGGCGGAAACGCAGCAGGCAAAAGTCCCCGTGTCGATCAGTAGTGGGATCGCGCCTGTGAATAGGCATCTGTCAGCAGCCTGTCCAATACAATTGGACTCGACTCTTTTTTTTTTGGCCACTGGAAATCATACTTCTGTGTAAAAGAACCCAAAAATCACCCTCAAATGTTGTCTCTTTATGCAAAGAATACAATTTGCACAACATTGTCGCTCAAAAAGGTTGTAGAATAATCATGTTTCTTTGACTTTTTCGAAATGTCTAAATAACATGACCAACAAGCCTGGTCACAAGTCAGAAAATCGCCTCTTCTTCTTGTCTTTGTTTCAAGTTGGGATTCTTTTTTTCTGCACTTTAAAGAAGTTGGTGTTGATGACAGATTTCTGTAGTTTCTGTCAAAGAGGTAGGACCCATTTCGACTGTATTTATTTGACAGCAGGGTCATTTCCAAAAAGAAACTTTTAATCTTTACTTAAACACATAGTATCATAGATCCATGTGTGTATTTAAAGCTTCTAACGCAATTACGGAAAATTTTCTAAACAGAGCATCAAATGATAAACGTCTGACTATGTACAGTCCAAAACCGCAATTTTGACAGATGTTGGCAAAATTTGAGTATCCA